AGTGGCCTGGGTCAGATGCATGTGGCAGGACATGTTCCACTGGATGTGGTTCTCGGGTCCAAGCCTGGCACAGATCTCCCCTCCCTGCACAGTCCAGGCTGCAGTGGGGACCATGCTCCTTTTCCCATTATATGAGAGCATGTAGAGCGAGCATTTAGTCCTCAGATTCTGAAAGCTCTGTGTGAACTTTGATATGACAGTGCCAGTTTTAACCAAAGAAAAGTACTGTAGATGTCACCTGCATTTTTATCCAGTTCTCTTTGACAGGAAGAGAATTTAGAGTTCTGCTAGAGATAGAAAGGGCAGAAAACCCCACTCCTAGACTCATTTTGCTTGCTGTTATCCTGCTACCATAATTACCTCTAAACATAATTATGGGCAAGACAAATGACATTTTTAGCTTTAGTCTTTAAAGACGAGTTAATTTCAGGCTTTGACCAGAACTATGTTAATTAGCCTCTACTCACTCTCTTTGTATGGAATTACATCACCCAGGACTTAGCATAGGTTGCCTTTCCTGTATCTTTGAGTAATGAAAGGACACAGCATGGCAACCAAATCAAGGGCTGCTGCATTAACAAGGCCACTTTTCTGCCCATTTATCATCTATTAAAGGTGCACTAGTTTGTAAAGTAACACCACCTTCAGCAGGGCTGCCAAGAACAGCTCCTCATTTATTTTCTGCATGGTTTAAGTTGGAGTTAGACCCACCTTGTAGCTCAGAGGTGACAGCCAGTAAGAAAAAGTACACTAATTGAGACATCTCAAGGGAGGAATAGAAGAAAACTGAAAAGGTAATTAGAATGAGAGGGTTTCAAGCTGGGTAGGTAAAATCGAATGGAGGTGCATATTAGGGGCTGTTACAGATGGGAAAGAAAGTACTTGGAGAATAAAAAAAGAAAAATGAATATTAGAGAACAGAGCACCCTTTTCACACATGAAGAATAGAGGAGAGAGATAAAAAATAATGTAACAGTGGAGATACAGGCTGGGGAAAAAAAAAAGCTCCAGAAATATGAAGGACGTATTTAAATGTAAAAGAGAAAGAATGGGGAAAAATAATAGAGCAGATCAATTACTGGAGCTGTAGTCAAGGAAGGAGAAACTGTCAAATGAATATTTCTGGAGCTGTGGAAAAGTCTCCTTTTTTTTTTTTTTTTCAGGGCTATAGAGTGTGTTTGGTTTGTGTAGAAGGGGTTTCTTTTGGGGGGTAATTCAGTATTTGAGCTTGCTGCAGTGTCAGTAGCCTGAACGCAGCACTGGGGTGAATGCCCATATGGGCAGAACTAGATTAAGTAGATGCTATTTGGCAGAGCGTGTAGCTGGTACCAGACCTTTTTCAAGTGGGTGAAGTTTTACCCCCTCAGCAATATTATCTCTGTGTCTCTTTTGCTTTAGTGTCAATAGTTAGGGACATGTTAAGGTCCAGTTCCAATTTCTCCCATTTTAAACCTTCCCTTACCTACTGGAAAAGAATCACCTGGGTTACTCCCAGGTCATTTCCACCTCACACATAGTGAATCTGGAGTTGCTCCACATTCCTTCAGGCATATGTACTCTGAAACCAAGGCAGACAGGCACATGAAGGGAAACACTTTTCTGATTAAGAGTGGACAATGGCCATTGCTTTCTGTCCTCTTCACAGTTGATTAGGCAAGATTTTCCCTTTTGGCTCCTGTGGAGGTAGGAGGCTGGAAGTGAAGATAGTCTTCATTGGTGGGCAGACCAGCTGGAGCATGGCTGCAGGGCAGGAAGGTGGAACCCCAAGGCCATCACCAGTGAGTTATTAACCCTCAAACACCCATGGTCTCAATAGCTGGTGGGCTGGAAGGACCAAAGTCTGTGTCTGTATCACTGGGAAGTGCTGCATAGAGGAATCTGAGCTAACTCTGAGCAAGAAAATCGTGCTTGCACCCTCAAGTAAATGAATCAAGGGAAATCAATTGGAGATATGTTTCTGGCTGTTTTCATGGGACTGGACCAGCAGTATTTGTTCTCATTAGAACTTATTTGTGCACCCCTAAACTTTTAAAAAGTGATTTATATTCAGTAATCAGGGAGCTGCTAAATCAACTTCACTGTTCTTAGCGTAGACATCTGCCTGGCAGGGACTGCAACCCTGTCACCAGGCATTCACTTTGCATGGGAGCTGTGAGCCACATTCCTTGAAAGTACCTCGTTTTTCCAGCTGCTTCTTGTTATCTCTGTTTCTGGTAAGAAATTTCATCAATTATTTCCTAATAGTTGAGTTCTGTTTTCTCTTTGAGTTGTATTTCTTATGTATGACTGTATGTGGTATATGTATAAAATGTGGATGTATGTTAATGGATTTTTCTCCATGCCATGATATTATTGTCTCTGTCAGTGCCCAGATCTAGACAAACAAATGAGATGAACAAGTGGAAACCAGTGGCATAAAATAGCCCCAAAAACTTCACTCAAATGCTGTAAGCAGGTGGAGAAAAGCGATAACACCTGCCTCCTGACTTCACTGCTGGGCGGATACATGCCAGTGGAGTTTGATGGCCTTTGGCAGATAATCTTGTGATCTCTCATCACCTGCCTGTTTGGTGAAATTCTTCTTCCTCTTGAAAAGTTTAGGTCAAGCATCATCATTACTTGGGCTTTAGAGTTCAATACTAATTACTAATACTGGGCAATACTGCCCCTCAGTGTGTTTATTCCTAGACACTGGCTGCCTTAGCTTTTCTGTCTCTTTTTTGTTGTTAAGCGGCAGGGAAAACACCTGAATAATTCAGCAAGAACCTTTTACATTATGAAAAATATAATCAGCTGGCAATGGTGAGGTATCTTATTTCTACAGGACACTAACTCAGGTATTACAAGTGACTGCAAGATTAATGCCAAAGCACAGGAGGTGTGCATATGCATTCTCCTCACTGTTCAAGGCAGTCCCACCCTGTGTGGAGGGCGGAGGGAAGACTGTATTCCTCACCATGCCTACCTAATGCCACTTAATAATTTAAATCCATTAATCGGTTAAGATGAAGACCGAGCGTTGCTTCACTCACCACTGCCAAGTGAAGAGATTTTCCTGGCTAAATAAAAGATCTTTAGGTTTTGTCTTCTTGCAAGGGACCTGAGAGTACCACAGCTTACTTCCCTAAGAGGCTTCAGTTTTTGTTGGGGGTGGTGGGGTGGTGATACTATACCAAAAGGGCTTAAGTAAACACTACCATCCGTACATCATAAGTAGATGTCTGGGAATATTAGCTGTTTATTTCACTGACATCCTCTGAAGAGTCTATGGGGGGCTCTTTCAAGAGTCAGGACCTCAATGTAATATACAAGCTTTGATTCTGATATTTCCCTTGATAACTGTGCTCTACCATATTGGGGTCGGGAGTCAGCAAAGGTTCATTGGCTGTTGTAATGCTCACTGTCACCAGTAATAAGTACAAAGGACTTGCTTTAAAAGCTGGCTTATAAAACTTTAAGGAAACTTGGATTGCTTAAGTGAACTTCCAAGGCTCTTCAGGGGCCAAGTGCACTTTGGTTGTCTACTTATATTAATTTCACAGAGTTTAAAGGGTCAAGCAATGCAGTTGGTGATGCTTATTAATTTATGAAACACAGAACCTTGCACTATCTCGCTTTGACCACTTTTCCTCTCCTTTTAGAAAATTTAATATACATTAAAGCTTGCTAGACAAGGGCGCCCTAAAGGATTAAGCCCAAAGTTCACAGCTGGACTAAAAGGTTCAAAGATGTTGAATCTGCAACACTGATTTGATTCCAAGTGACGTTCAAACAACGGAACCAAACTGTGGATGTTTGAATGTGTAAGGAAACAGCAATTAGAGGAATACCACAGAGCAGCAGAGGATTAGGATTTATTTTCCTTAAAATGGTAAAACTGATTCAGCCTGATTCTTTCGTTCGTGGGGGGATGTGTTTGATCACATCAGCTTTTGGGGTCAGTGGTTGGTGTTACAATACAGCTTGCCAAGCTCTAAATGCTCATGCAGTCCTAAGAACTTTACAGAATATATTTGATTGTTTTGGTGATGCTGAACTGAGTCCTGGAAAAGAAAATGTTAGCCAGAAAGGAAGAAAGAAAAGAGAAATGGGTAGCTGCTGAAGTAACAGGGTTAGGATTTAGAAACCTGACATAATCCTATTCAGGGGTATTTCTGTATTCTGTTTACTTGCTATTGAATTGCTCTGGTGTCTTGTCCAAGGGAGATAATTCCAGAAGTCATTCACACCCAGGCTGCAAATTCAATACTGCATTCAGGTGACAAATGGAGTGTGATTGCAAAGCTACCCAGAAAATTGGAAATCAAATTGGCTGTGATGGTTGGTCTATGTGGTCTCCTTTTGGAATCAACAAGAGGGAGAGGAAAATGAAGTGTGTCCTACTGTACAGAACATGAGTTTATTTAACCAGAGTTGGTAAAGGGGGAAGCGAATTTCACATTATGTCAGCTCTGATTCCCGAGGCCTTTGGGAACACTCACCTTGAGGAAGCGGTTGTATTTCACTGGATGTTTGCTGTTGCAAAGAGAGACTCTAAACCCTGTAAGGGAGTCCCAGTGGTGCAGAATCTTTACATTGCAGCTGGGCCCGAACAGCCTCAGATAAGGTTGTGGGGCCCTGTGGTACATCACATGCTGGGAGAAAGTCTGTGGTTGGAGAGAATTCATAGCTTTCATGAGTGAACAAGGACAGAAATGTGGGAAGGCAAAGCAGCTGGGAAGAATTTTGTGTGATCCGTGGCACTTTGTATCCAGCCAGAGAACAGAACTCACATGTCCAGGACTGCAGCAGCCTTACCCTTGTATTTTAAACCCTTTAAACAGAGAGAACAATGCAGAAAATCCCACAGGACACATGAGAAAAGGGGTTGTGCTGAATCCCTGTTACCATTTCCTTGCATTTACTTGCTAACAAAAAATATTTTTCTTCTAGAATGAGGTTCTATCCTGTGGGGTATTTGGTTTAAAATGTACTGTAACCTTCTTTTTCTAATTGATCAGATCAGCCTTGAACGCTCAAAGAAAAACCTGCCTGCTCTGAATATTGCCTGAGGAATTAGAAAGGTCTTTCTTGGAAACAGAAGAATGAGATGAAACGATCATCTGTAGAGCATGGTAAGAGAGAAAAAGAATAAAGGGATGAGTTATGTTTGACTTGTCTTCTTCCAAGAGACTATTTCTTTTTTGTTTTTTTAGAGCAGACTTTAGATGTAGGAGATGTTGTGGGAGCTGCTCTGTACAGTTTCAAGATGTAGCTTTACCATGGCAGCTCTGCAGGCCCTATAGCTTCCTCAGACCCATCTATAGGCACCTGCATTTTGCGCCACATATGGGAGAGGGTCTGGAAGAATCTTATCTTTCTCTTCATTGTCCTCCACAGGTCTTTGTCCCAGAAAATACAGAGAGAAAGAAGATCCTGGAGTTGAACTGGAGCTGAGCTGACCATGGACTTCGTCCGAAGAGTAGGTATGTTTGGAGGTGTAATTGTGTTCCATGTGTAACACTAGTGCTGATTGATCTGGTATATGAAGGTGCCCTAAAATACATTTGCCATTGACCTTGTTAGGACCTGACATGCTGGTTCTCAGAGACCAGAAATGAATGACTGCTAGAGGTTCTCATGCTGCTCAATGCATTTCCAGTGTCTTGCTAGAACAAGTTTCCAAACATGGGCAGTTTTTCTCCTCCTCTCCCAACTTGTAAACCAAAAATATCTTTGTTTTGGCAACTTGATTTGCAGTAAGACTACATTATGTACCACTTGAGCTGTAAGAGAAACTACTAGTTGTAGTACAGGGGTCAATCAAGTAGATGTTTGTTATCTTCCACCTAAGCAGAAGCAACACTAAAATTTTAACTCTGTCATTAATAAACAAGGAGCCAGTGGATGGGAGAGCAATGGAAGGCCTATGATCACTTACTCTGAAAGGGATGATTGTTAGTTGCACCTTGATGGCATCTGCTTGCAGATACAGTGAAGAAAAGATTATCACTGCAACAACTCTGGTTAGCGAATAATACAGACATTGTGGCAGGGATCTGACCCACCTTACATGTGCTAACAGTGTTAAGTGATATCTTAGTGGTATTTTGGATCCTCATTTATGTGACTGCAATAGGAAACCAGAAGAAAAGGACCCTTCTTTTTTGTGACATAATTAATTTCATGCCATTCTCTGCACTTCTAAACTGAAAAATCAGTTATTCTTGATTGAAGTCAGCTTACTTGTGACTCAGAGAAGAAGAAGAGAAAGACCTTTAAGGCAAAGACCTTGGGTTGGTATTAATACGCCTACATAAAACATCAGCTGTACACGAGTTTCCTCCAGTACCTCTTTTAGATCCTGGTGAGGGGCAGGGGAGAGTGATGCTAGCCATGAGTGAGAGCCTTTAGCTGTGTCCTTTGGAAGAGTAGAAGCAAACTATTCTTTCAGTATTCAGCTCTTCCTGGGGTGCTAGCTGCTGTTGGGAATTGTGCAGAGTACACAGAATCCTTCTGTGTCTGTCCTTAATCCCCTTAATTTGTAGCTTCAATTAAAGGTGTTTGAAAGGAGCTTAGATACATGGCTTCATCTTGATAGAAAGGGACAAATGTGAATAATAAAATGGACCAGCCCAGTTCTGCTGGAACGTTGCTGAAGTGAGAAGCAAGGAAACTTCAAGACCTGATTCCCCTTTACAGATTCAGTCAAGGATCCTAAAGGCTGCCTTCCTTAGCTGGCAGCTGCCCTGAAGTTGTCCTGAGTAGGGTGGCCTGGGGAGCAGATTGGAAATATAAAAGGTGGAAGTCCCTAACTTTTAAGTCCTTTTAACATCCCTAAATTTTTGTTGTGGTCACAGATGTTACAATGCAGAGCTCATAAACTTACTTGCTTATATCAGTCAGGTACAAAAGCTCTGGGTTTTGCTTTGGCTTTCTTGCCTTGCTTGGTGAACGTATTCCACCTAAGTCCAGAACAAAGAGCTAAATCCTGCTGAAACAATCAGTCCCCAGGGCTTCAAGTCTATTGGCTCTAATGGACATATAAAAGTCAGTCATAGCAGCTGCAGATGAAATCACAGATGAGATCTTACTAATTAATTGCATGAACTTTGTTTCTGCCTGCTTTGAGATTCTCTCAGCCTTGCATAAATATCTGGGCACCCATACTGCACACCTCAAAGGGGCTGTTGGTTTTCCAAGGAAGAACAATTTGGGGGCCTAAAATAGCCCTGCAATTACTTCTATTCACATGGTCTCACAGGAACAAAATGGTTTCTGAAAACTGGTTTTGTTCACACGTGATTGAAAAGTTGCCCTCCGTTGTTCTGCCAAGTTAGGCACTGATTCAGGTTTATGACTATATCATTAATATTTTAGTACTGCATCAGTAACTGGTTGCTATTAATATGTAGTGAAACAGTGATATAAAAAGGTAGATGTTCCCCATCATTTGGCAGAATTTGCATTACAGCTGGATGAAATTTATAACACATCTTCTGCAACCTACTGGTCTGAACTCCTGTTATTAATTTCTGCTGTGTTTATTTGTCGTTTATGTTCACTTTGGGCAACATTCTGTCAAGTTTCCTGGCAAGCACAACAGTGGATATAGCTGATTTCAGCTGACTGCAGGAGAAGGACTTTGTAGAAAGTGAATTTTGAATTAGCACTAGTATTTGCAGCAAAAATCTCCCCCTGAGAAGTCTATTCCCCTCCGCCTGGCGTCAGCAGCACTTAAGTGCATGTGAATAGCCCTATTGACTCCAGGTGGGCAGCTGTTTAATTACCTTCCTGAATCAAGGCCAGGACAAGGAAACAAGTTCCCAGCATACGACCTGGGTGCCCACTCAAATGGCTTATCTTCCGAATGCTGGGCTTCCGTAAGTGACCCCCAGATTGTTTGACTGGGTAATTTGGCAAATACTTTCCAGTCAAGAATAAATTTGAGGAAATCATCGTTGGATACACAAAGAGAGGTGAAATTTGTGCAGTGTATTTTGCAGCTATTGCCCAGGTTTAGTCAGCTTGCTTGTCTCTTCCTGTTTCAATACTTCCAGCAATCACGTTTTTGTCCCCACGTTTTATTTAAGAACTCTGAAATGACAAGTCTCTTGCCTTTCAACCAGGAGAGTGGTGTGCTGTACACAGCATGCTGTACACAGGAGGAGGAGGATAAAGAATGACATGCTACTCTGTGAGCTACAACTATTCTTTTTTCCAGACCCGCATCTGCTCTTGTCCCTCTTCTGTTCTCAGATCACTCTTCAGCTTCCCTTAGGAATCCAGCTGTGTCATCACATTGTGTGGCATCCTAATATTTCATACTAAGCTGTAAGCCAATTAGGAATGACTACTTACCATGCTGAATCATAGGAAGAGGAAAGGATAATGTGTCCTTCATGTAACGAACCTCCTCTTTTTTGGCAAGACAGATCACCTCCACATTATATTTATGAGCCCTGTGACTTTTCACTCTGCCCAATTAAGATGCAGCTTCCTTTCCCTCTGCTGCAATATTTTAAGGGGCTTGTTTACAGATGGATGCTTATTGAAAGTGCTGACCTGCTACCATTATACCTCATGCCACCTTTCCTCTTTACATGCTGAAACACTGGACAAAACCTGATGTTGTAATCACCTTTAACAGGATGAGAACACGAGTGCAGCAAAATACAAATACCTTGTCCTGAGTTCCTAAATGAACTGGTGACCCCAGAGGAGGATATAACATTATCACGTGCCACCCAGAGTTGAGGGAGACGTTGATTAAAGTCAAACTGTAAAATAAAGTCTATTGTATCAAAGATGAAGAAGAATGAACCATCATTGTGTATTTGGAAATGCGTGAAGTGTTTAGTAATGAGCATCAAGAAGATATTAAAATTTATTTGCCATGCTGAAGTAATTAATGAGCTATTATGCCAGGTGTCTGAGCTGCCCCGAGGTCTGGGATAAGTACTGTTCCAGCAGAGGATGCAGAACATGATTTAAGATGAAATGGAACAATGCTAGTTCTAGTGAGCACTTAGGGTGCCCCCCTACCTCCAACTGGTGTTTCTTTTTCCTAAGCTGCTGAGTAGCTCTTGATAGTATTTCTTTTTCGGGAAGAGACATACTCCTTCAGATTTGTCTTTGAATCCTGGCAGTGTTGCAGACTGAAGGCTCTGGTGACCTTTACCTGCCATCTTTCAAACTTTCTCTAATCCTATTAGTCTTCACAGTGAAACAAGCAAGACAGCACCCCAAATGGCAGCACACTCACCCCATGGAAGCCAGTTAACTGCCATCCTCAAGTGATAGATTTTGTGTACCAAGTTACATTAGAAATTACATTCAGGTAAGAGCCCTGGCTGCAAATACATCCAGGTGAAAAGCATGGTCTCAGATTCAGCTTCCCAAGCTGCATTTCCTAAACCAAATCCAGTCCACCCCCAATAGAGATTGGAGCTTAATGAAATATGGGAGCCTCTGTTTTAAGGCTGCTTCAAGGAAGGTCTAGCCATACCCTGGTAGGGTTCAATTTGCTGCTTCAGTGATCACATCCCATTTATTCCGTTCACAAATACCTCTGAGACAAACAAATTCTCCCACAACCTGCCAGGGAAGAGCAGTGTGGAGTCACAGTGCTAACATCTGTGGCTAAAAGCATAGATGTAGGCAGCTGTAGGGGATCAGGGAGATCCTGCTTTGCTTTTCAGGGTAACTGATCCCACCTGTGCTGAGCAAGTTTAAGGGCTCAGATCTACGTGGTGACCTCTAATGGAAGGTAGGGCTAAGGATGTTACAGCATAAGAGCTGTTGCAAGTAGAGGATAAAGGTTCATGGTGTTTTTCTTGCAAAGAGAGATCTTCAGTAAGTTGAAGTTGGCTCTGCTGTAAAGGTTCTGTGCTTTATCTGAAATAATGCTTGTTTTATTAATGTAGGGGTTTAAAAACCTCTTGGCCTCCAAGAAAAAGCTGGCTGTTTAGGAGCTGTACCTTTTTGTGGTGTTATTCAAAATGTCTCAGTTAATCATTGCTAAAGGCCTTGCAGTCTGTGTTGCAAATTCCTTTTTTATATAATATATAATTCATGTGGCTCCTTCCACACAGATAAGGACTTGTCTCAAATGTCAGGGTGGGGGAGGAAAGGATATCTGACCTGGAGGGCAAGAATATTGAATGCACTGGTGTTGGACTTGACATTCTCCTAGTATTCACTGCGATAACATCAATCTTGAGGAACCCTCCTGGTATAAATACAGATTTGCTGCATTTAATATATATTGCCAAAGGAATTTTATAGTAATTGAGTATTAAATGATGTCCACTTCTTGTAAAGTGTTACTATTTTTATTAAAAATTATAAATGAGTTTCAGCAGAACTGAATACACCAGATTCGTGCCACCTTCTCTATTAGTTTTTATGCTATAATTGTCATTGACTGACTTTATTATTTCTAGATTGTTCATAATTTTCCCAGCTGAGCAAATGAAGATTTGTGAGCAAAGGAAAGCACTGACTGGATTATGCAGTGCCATTGATTTTTATTCTCCTTGTTTCATAGAATGTGCTTGGAAACCTTCCTATCTCTGTGATGGGCCTTATTAGCCCTTGGAGGAGCTGGCATGAGTTGGATGGCTGTAACGTGTCCTGTTATGCTGTACCAGAAATCTCAGCTCATGGAGAAGGACATCTCAAAGCTGAGCTGGGAATGAATCCGCTGGATGTCCAGGTATGGCCCAATTGGGCTTTGGGGGTCTTTGTCCAGTGTGTGTGTTGCAGGGCGCCGTTCCAAACCTGTATTGGCTAAAGAAACAGTGACCTGAGAACTGCCCAGAGGGAACCAGGCTGTGCATTGTGCAGGCGAGGCAGTGCCTGTGTGGGAAACTGTATCTCATTCACTAACATTTAATCCTGAGAAAGATGATGGCAAACGTTGGCATTTCCCTTCTGTAAAGATGATGGCTTTTGCTCATGTTATCAGAGCACCTGCCCACGTAGTCTCTTCTGTGTCTGTCATGACTTTTCAAGTTTGAACAACAAAAACCTAAGTGAACGATGAGGGTTTGCTTCAGTTTATGGCTATTTCACCTTGCTGTTTTGTGTCATTGAGGGATGCTTGCACATTAAAAATTCCTGAAAAACAGGCTAACTGTAACGGGGCTTCTAAGGTTAAAAAAAAAGGTTAGGTTTGGAAATTGAAAACTGATATTTATTTGCAAAATTTGACCCAGATCTATTTATTATTTTGATCCTCCTGAGACTGTAAAAGAGGCAGTTAGGTGTTCACAGCAGAAATGATCTTGTAGAGCATTGCTATTCTATTTTATTGCCATTGAACAGCAAATAATGAACTGCCAAGAATATGAGGGGAACTGTGGATGGAGGGTATGGCAAGATTCATTATTTTTGTGTATATTGCTGAGACTTGAATGGAATGACATGTGTGGGCTGGAAATACAGGTCTTCTCATCCTTGGCTGATTCAATCAAGTCTTGTATGGTAGTGTTTTCAATATGGATTCCTGTATCCTTTATGGGATCTTGATGCATTATGTAGGTCAAATTAGTAATCTGGTTTTTAATTAGGGCTTCACTGTGGGCTGTTTATCTCTCTTGCTGATCTCTGCATCAGAAACACAGTCTCATGGGAAGATGACCAGGAATGTCTAAGACCTTGTGCAAAGCACTAAATGCTCATTCTGTAGTAGGACAAAGTGAACAAACCCTCTTATACCAATCTTTAAGTTTCTGGAAACTTTCTGAGTGCCAGAGGTGGAGGGGGAAATCCACTAAATTTCCCTATAAAAAGGGAAAATACCTGTTCCATGAAAATGAGTAAAGAACATAGTTGAAAATCAGTTTCTATAACTGCACCCTCACAAATAGCCCTCCTCTTTGCATTCAACCTTTGTTTGAATAAAGCTGCTGTTAAGGATTCCTGTGCAGGAGAATTCCCTAAAGTGTCTCAATTCAATATACAACTATTTCTGACCATGCGAGTGAGGAAAGGTGCAAATGCAGCCCTACCTTTGCCCTTTCTGTTTATTAATGCAGCAAGCGCTCACACAACCTCTGCTCCTTCTGAAAGCCAGAACTGGCCTGTGTGTTCTGGTTTGTATAGGGAGTGACAGGAATTACACAGCCTTACTCCACAGACCAAACTTTTCACATAGCTCTGGTAGCAATGAGCCCCTGGGGACTCACAGGATGCTGCCTTTGCTCTGTGATAGCAAAGCCAGCTATCAGTTGTTAATCCCAGTGCGTCATACAAGACACTTTCTATCTCCTCCTGTAATGTCAATGCAGCTGGAATTCCATAAATCAAATCTCAGCAGTAAAAAGGTTAATAAGTTTACACTATATAATTGAAAGCCATATTGGTGATTAAAAGGATTTTATATATCAGTTTTCTGGGTCACCAACTAATTATTTTTGGTGGCCTGTAATAAAACATAGCACCATAGGCAGGGAGAGGCTGTAATCACATAATATATGGAAAACTGCATTTACATTTATTTGAGATGAGGTTGTGTGTACCAGCTTCTTGAATAGCCTTTGAGGTACAGGTTTCCTAGCTTGGAGACAATGGAAGAGCTGCACGCTCCGTGTACTTGGAACTTGGTTCATACAAAGTTATTGGATTGAGTTTTGAGGTCTGGTGCTCTCTCTCCAGAGCTAAGCCCAGGGGAGCCAAGCTGTCACCTGTGATGGAAAGGTTCTGCTGAGGCACTGGGGATCAGATTGCTATTATAATTCATTTTAATGCATTCTGCACGTACTAATCATTTATTGGAACAGGATCTGCTGTAATAGGGACATAACTAGGAAGAGGGAGAAGTGATTGATCATTCTCCCGTAAAAAGGGTAGTTAAAGAAACAAACAAAAAGGAAACCTGTACAGGAGGCAGGTGTGTGCATGTGCATGAAGGAGCAGGTACTCGGTGTGGAGGAGAATAAAAACTGAACTCAAAGCTTGAACTGAGATCTCTACAGTAGAAGGGAAACCTTCTGTACCAAGGGCAGGTATGTGCATGTGTGCAAAGGATCAGGTATCCAGTGTTGAGATAGGGGGAAAATTGAACTTGAAATTTCTACAGTTCTATCAGGCTGAAATACCCTTTGGAGCCAAACACCCAGACACAAGAGACATTGCAACCTCAGGCTTCCGGTTTGCAGTTACGTGTTTTAGTGGTTTTCTCTGATTGCATCAAGAAGCAGCTAAGGGCAAAGGAAGATGCTGGATGTGCATGTGGATTGGCAATGAGGCGCTGCTCAGGGGGCTGTATATGCACAGATAGCTTGCAGGTTACTTCTGTAGTCTCTGAGCCTCCTGTGGTCCTCTGTGAGGTAACACTACCACAGCCTGTGTTATGGTAAAGCAGCCTACTACTGATCTCTGTTGTTCTGCCTATTAAGCAAAGGGCAAACTGCACAATATGGCGAGTGCTGGGCACATCATTCTCACTGTCAGGGCAGGATCTGTGACCAGAAACACATGACCTGATGTTCAGATCTCTCCTGGACAGCACCTGCAGAACCACTTTGGAGAGCAGGACCTTCCGTGACACGCAGTATTTTTTAGATCTTTTGGCTATATCTTTTTAATTGGCAAACCATTAACCCTTAATTGCCCATAGCATGGAGCAATGCCATGACATATTACACTGTAATGAGTGTTCAAGTCCTTTGCTGCTAAAATTATTTGCTTGTCATGTACTATATCTAACTAGCAGGTTTTCCACACTGAAAATAACATCTTTTACTTGAATTATGTTCCTAAAGCGTTTCCTAGCAGAGTAGCTAAGGGGATACTTGGTTTTAAACACAGGCTGGGGAGGTTAAAAGCAGAATGGCAGTTGTGTGAGTAATGGCCTATGAGTCAGCTGCTGAACTTGACATGGCAACCTCCATGTCACCAGGTCAGAAGGCATTTGTGTGACAGTTTGAGGGTAAAGAAATCAAAAATAAACTGGTAGCTTCCCCTGGTAGAAGGGCATACATGGGCTTGCTGAGCAGAGACTGAGAAGGGGAAAAGTTAAACAGCAGTACTGGAAACGAGGAAAGAGTGTGGGTATCTATTTGAATTACCTGCGTGGATGTGATGCATCAGGTGTACCCTCTGAAGCTGAGAGGAAAAGCAATGTAGTTTAAGAGCCTGAGTGCTGGAGGGGCTGAGCTGAGTAAGCCTCTCTGCCAGGGGTCTTTGCAGCTGTAACTTGCTTACATTTGATTTGAACAGTTTGGGGCTAAGAAAGAGCCAAATAACACTTTTGCAACCTGCTGCTGTTACAGGCTGGAACAGCAGAATTGTTCACCTTCCTGTCACTTTGTTTGGTCTCTCTCTCTGGAGAGATTTTTGTCACTGGATTGGTCATAGCAGGAAGTTGTTATTTTTTCACACATAATCAGCAGCAGAAAGAGTGTGGTCCTCTTCCAGCATCTAGGTGCTTAGAGACAGCTTTGAAAATTGACAAGGTGGGTAAGAACCAAATCAAGATCATGAGGTGACTTGGACAAGGCCTAGTGGTGAGGTAGTGCATGGGAAGAGAGGGATCTCCCGGCTTTCCTGGGAAAGGACTTCTGCCTCTGACACAGCTAATACAATTCTGGATAGTAAAATTATAATAATAGCTAACCAGAGGGAATTAACATGTTCTGCACAAGCATTCCTGTTCTATAGAATCATAGAATAGTTTGGGTTGGAAGGGACTTGAATGCTCATCCAGTTCCAACCCCCTGCCACAGGCAGGGTCACCTTCCACTAGATCAGGTTGCTCCAAGCCCCTGTGTCCCACCTGGCCTTGAACACTGCCAGGGATGGGGCAGCCGCAGCTTCTCTGAGCACCCTGTGCCAGCGCCCCAGCGCCCTCACAGGGAAGAATTTCTTTCCAATATCTAATCTGATACCCCATTTCTAATCTCTAATACAGCATTATTAAAGATAATGAAATTTGAGCATCTGCTGTGTATATAGTTCAGTTCCTGAGACGCGTATGTATGGACAGAGCTTCTCTGTGATACATTTTAGGTAGCATAGGCAAAGAAGCAGAGGATGCCCAAAACTGTTCTGTATCTGACCTAGAACAAGAGGTCAGAACCATAATATGGCCTTTAGTACTCCTTGTCACTGCAGTCCTTTCACTTCACGCCTTATTGCAGAAGTTCAATATACTTTTCAGCTAAAGCTCCCCTAGCACTTAGCTCTTTAAACTCCCTACTCAGCAGGTGGCTTATTTAAATGTGGCTGTCAGCTTGGCCAGTGGCCAAGATCGAATGGCTCAACGCGTGAACCGCAGTGTTTGGGTTTCATTCTGCTCTTGTTTCTGCCAGCAAAATTCTCCTGGCTCCTGGGGTTGTGTGGGGTACAAGTGAGTGCAGTATAGGGCTGTCTGCTCAACTGTTTGTCAAATAAATCTATGGCCAGTCATTTGCATGATGTCAGCTAAACATTTGCCTGGCGCTTTTCACGTGTGCCAGCCAAGGAGGGATTCGGGATTGTTTGAAATGAAAACCAGCATTGTCACCTCTCACTTAAGCATTTCTTCCGCAGTGTGTAAGTAACTTAGGTTGCAACCCACGGCCTCGAAGAGGAAATGTAAAGTTTCTCTAAATATTGAGTACAAGTGGGGATATCAGCTGCTTAATTGGTTCTTCACAATTCAGATCTTATGGCTGAACAAGTGAGATGGAGGGAGGAGGAAAGCACATGGTTTAAATTAAATATATGGAA